TCAGGCCAGGACTCTGCAGTCTACACTCATCTCCAGGCCAGCGGTCACTCTTTCAGGGATGAAGATGTTCACATCCTGGACAGAGAGGAACGATGGTTTGAGAGAGGAGTAAAGGAGGCCATCTTTGTGAAAAGAAATCGTCCATCATTAAACAGGGGTGGAGGCCTCCGGGTTCAACTGTCCCCCTCTTACAATGCTGTGATTGCTAGTATCACTCAGCCCTCTGTGAGTAGTAAACAGCCATCAGTGTGCTAATGATCCATTGTTAGGCTGATGGTCCTTCTTGAGCATGTGATCAGCTGGTTTTGGTTGTCAGCAGCAAACTGGTTGATCCACTCTAAGAAGGTGCTATTTAAGAGACTGAGCTGAAAACAGCACCTCAGACTGAGGAAGTCTCTTGGATGAGAGACGAAACGTTTCTAGATTTTTTTGCTTTGTTTTTTTTTTTTTTTTTTTGAATGTCCAGAGGACCAGATTGAACTTTTTTGGAGGAGCAAGTAAAGTTGTGGGAGGATTTTCTGCAGAGGAGCCTAAATCCAGCTAGTCAAACTGGTTTTGCCCCATACGGACCTAGTTTGGACTGGTCAAAAGAGATCATCTGATTACCACAAGAAATGGTCCAGGATGATATTCAGCCACACGGGCATCTTTGTCAAGCTGTACACACAAAGCAAAAAGCTCATTTGACTAATTTCATTCAGGCTTTCGTTTTTAGCACAGAGTTGCGCTAATTGCAGCTAATATTTACGATAGTGTTTCTGTTGTAGTATCTCTTACCCTTCGAGGTGCCTCAGGGAGCAATACTCGGGACATTATATTTTCCTTCTTTAGTTTGTTACACAACCTGATGTAAAGAAAAATCTGTTTTGTTTCACTTATGCTGATGATACGCAGCTTTATTGTTGCCTGTTTTATGACAACAACAAAAAATCAGCTGGAACATTTTCAATTTTCCTCACGTATAACTGCAGTCAAACTAAATTTCTAGTGTGACCACTAACAGTTGACTCATTAGTTCCCTCTTTATTTTGACTGCTCTCTTTTAGAAGCCACCACATCCGATCATCTTTCTCCATCTCATCCCAGCATCCTCGTTTGCATATTTTCCTTCTCTATATACATCCATAAATCTCCTCTGCAGTTTAAATTTCAAATTCTTCTTGGCATTAAACGCCAAACAATCAGCGGAATCTCAGCTTGAGTTAGAAAATTACTGCTCCATTCCATGGCTTCGAAACTTTTTTGTAATTCTCCAAAGATGCAACATGATAGTGATTTTTTTTGTTGTTGTTGTTGTTCCTATAATGTTAATCTTTACATAAAAAAATATTCCTCTTTTAAAAAGATCTCTGACCGATGACCCTCAGCTACTATCAAACAAAATTTTTAGCTCATTATTTGTAAAACTGATTAAGTTATAGCTGTTTTTGTGTTAACTAAATTCAATTAGCTGTGGTGGTCATCTTAAATTGGAGTAACTCAAAAAGTTAATCAGTTGTAACTGCACATGCCTGGATTTCTTCATGAAAATTTCATTAAAATCTGTTCAGCGGTTCATGATATATTATGCTAACAGACACACAGGGTTGATGCCAACAATTAACACCAAGGTTTTATGTGAAGACGTTTTACAGCATGTGGCATTTGCAGTTTGTGTTTTGTCTTAGTTTCAGTTATTACCAGACCAAATTTGTGTTAAAAATCTGCTAAATTGATTGAGGTCCAACCATGTTTGTGTTTTCTGAAACTAGTTTACTGTGGCGGCCAATTTAAATTGGAGTGACTCCAAAAGTTAATCAGTTGTAGATGCGCATCCAGTGATTACTTTCTGCAAGGGTTAATAAAATCCATCCATTGGTTCACGAGATATTTTGCTAACAGACAAAATCTTTATGCAATCCGAGTAGTTGCTTGTTCCATCCTAGATCTGAGAATTGAGATGGGTCAACATGTAAACAAATGCTTGTTGATCCTGTTTATAAACAGCGTTTTGGGGCTCATGTTTACCACACACTTTTCTTTTCTTTTTTTTTTTTTTTACATTTTTGTAAACAGTTTGATTAAATCAGTCTTTCTGCCAATTCACAGGAAATAAAACTAAACAAATAATAGAACTTCAGTTTATTCACACAGACTTGACAACCTCTTAGTTCACACCACACACAGACAGACCTGCTCCTCTTGACTCCGGCGCGGAATAAAGTACATTTTACAAAATGTTTAATATAAACAAGTTAATATCTGTCGTACAAATCGCACGTGCCGATGGCTGTGAGGTAAAACACATTATGACGTCACCGCAGTCTTCCAGCGCGTTTTAATGATCAGCTTAAGGAGAAATTGTTTCCTAGTATGAACGAAAAAGGATTCAAACAGAATCCTGTTCTTTTCCTCGTCCTTCTGCCGCAGATGTTCGTTTATCCAATCTGGAGTAAACACGCGCCTCTGTCCGCGATCAACTACAAGGACGCGCGCGCTTTCCATTCTGCTTGCGCGACATTTCTTTTAAACATCCCAAAATAAATTTGTCACTGAAACTTCTCCACAAAGCTGCTCTGGGTTGAAGATTTCGTTCAAATTGGGGTGTTTAATTTCAATGATGTGCTGAAAATTGATCCACTCACAGTCTGGATAGATTTTACGCACAAGGTTCCCCCCCAAAAAACGCGTTTTTTTTTACCTTGCACGTTGAAGTTTTCCATCTAAACTTTTTATAAATGTACTTTTTATTCTGAATTTATGTCACAGTTGTGATTCAGAGTGGGACAGTTTGGCAGCCAGGCTGCTGTCGCTGTTGTCCAAGGCGGCGCAGTCAGACCACATCTCCAAGGTGCCGGGCTCCAGCGCGGACACGAAGCCGCCGGAGCAGCGCGACAGGTCGCAGGAGCTCGCGTGCAGCCTGCGGTCGGCTTGTCTCGGGCAGCACAACAGCCTCTTGAAAGCCTTCCTGAAATCCGGACTCCGGCAGTAAATGATGGGGTTGAAGGCCGAGTTGACGTAGCCCAGCCAGTTGAAGAACACGAACAGGTTCTTGTCCACCACCTCTGCGCAGAACACGCGCGCCACGTTGACGATGAAGAAGGGCAGCCAGCACAGCGTGAACGTGCCCATGATGATGCCCAGAGTCTTGAGCGCCTTCTGCTCCCGGAGAGCCAGGATCTTGGAGGGCCTCTTCTTGCACTTGGACGTGAGTCCGGTCAGCGTGTTGTGGAACCTGCCCTCACACTTGTCGATCTTCCTCAGCTGCAGCTTGGCCTCTCTGTAAACACGCGCGTAAACAAAAACCATGACCAGGAGCGGAATGTAAAAGGAGATGATGGAGGAGGAGATGGCGTACGCCCTGTTCGTCACAAAGTCGCAACACTCCGGGTCCTCGTAGCAGGCGGTGTCCACGGAGTCGCGCGACCAGTGCATGAGGATGGGCAGGAAGGAGACCAGCGCAGAGATGGCCCACACCACGCACACCACCGCCTTGGCGCGAGCTTTGGTTAACAGGCTCTGGTAGCGGAACGGCGAGGTGATGGCCACGTACCTGTCTATGGCGATTACGCACAGAGTTTCTATGCTGGCCGTGACGCACAGGACGTCCACTGAGATCCAGAACTCGCAGAAGAACGCGCCGTAGAGCCACGAGCCGCGCACCTCGAGCGCAGCGCCGAACGGCACCACCAGCAGCCCCATGATGAGGTCCGCGCTCGCCAGCGACACGATGAAGACGTTGGTGAGGGTCTGCAGCCGCTGCGTCCTGGCTATGGCCGCGATGACGAGGATGTTCCCGAAGACGATGGACACGACGATCAGCCCCATCACCAGGCTCATGCCGGCCATCCACTGCTCGGACGCGGCCGGAGCGGAGCCCGGCGGCGCGCCGGACGCCTCGCTCCACGTGCGGTTGCGGAGGAGGCTCAGCGGCAGGGACGTGGCGCCGTCCTCCATGACGGGCTGCTGCGCTGAAGGCTGGACCGGCTCGGGTTCATCCAGGTGGAGGCGGGCGGCGCGCGGCTTCTAGCCCATCGCGCGTCAACTCCATCTGGAGGAGCTCGTCTCTCTGGAGCTGCGCTCCCGCACCCGGACTTCATCGGTGACATCATCGCGCCTCTCAACCAATCACAGAGTCCAGAGGATCGACGGTTCCAGCTGCCAGGACACAAATCATACTTTATATTGTGTATTTATCACCCGCTGCTGCTGTGGAAAGGTGATAATGCCATTGCTTGGGCCTTTGTGTGCGCACTTGTCTGATGTGTTAGCAAAATATCTCATGAACCGCTGGATGGGGTTGAACACAACTCAAGAAGTCTAATGAATAAATTAATATCTACAAGATGAACATTTGGAGTTAGATGATGCAGCTGAAGGATCTTAGCCAAATTTGATGTGGTAGTTGAGAGTCATCCCCAACATAAACTTTGAAGGCAGACTAATCAAGCACCTCTTCTTAAACCTTAGTCATTAACTATTAAAGTCAACTTATTAATATTATTTTGCAGAAATGGACCAGTCGGTGTATTTTCACATCGGGGTTTCAGAACGACAACATTGCCATTTCCTTCAGCTCAGTGAGCTTCTCTGAGTCCACATCTGGTTTGTAAATTACCACCAGTCTCGAGACAAACAACCTGCAAAAAATGGACAAACAAAAAAAACAAACCTGTTTTTTGTTGTTGTGAGGATTAACAAGCTTTTGAACCTAATGCCCCCACATCTGCGGCTGAAACAACCTGACGGAACACAACAGTCATGTCAACATCCCTCCCTTTGACCTTTACCTTGACCTGTGGAAACTAACGTAAAGCCTTTTCACACATGTTGTGTTTCGTCTTTCTGGGGACTGGGAGGTCTCAACCTCCCAATGTATGTGTTTCAAATGAATCCACAAAGTAACCTTTTGTAATCCAGAATATCATCAGGGTAAAATAATGTATTTAGGTTATATTGGCCATACATTAAAATAATTCTGATGGAGGTTGAGATAGCAATCATTAAATTGTCACTATGCCTTTTTCTGCTTACGGTACATATAATGTCAGCTGGTATAATTTTCTGTCTGATATAAATTTGAGTGAAGTAAACTTTGTCATGTATTAGCTAAAATGATCATTTAATCTAGTCTAAGTCTTACCCTCCCAAAAAAGTACCTATTCAAATCTCTAAACGTGTTTAATCTGGTGATTTTATCATCTTGATGTCTTCAGATTGGCAATCCAGAGACTGGAGATGGCAGCGATCAACTTGCCAAACTGTGGCCATTTAGAGATCCATCTATAACAGGTAAGATATTGATTGCTCATACTTTTTCTCGCAGTAACTGACAGAAGGTCTGAATGATCCATTTAATGTTTAAAAACATTTATGACATAACTCTCTGCTCTTTGAATTGAGAAAGTGTTTCGGATGAGAAGCAAAATGTCTTCTGTTACAAATAAAGTCCAGCTGTTTTTGTCTTGAACTTTTTTTTTTTTAAAGAACATTTAAGCTTTGCAGCCTCTTTTCAGTTAAAACACACACACACACACACACACACACACACACACACACA